TTTTTTTTTTTTTTTTTTTTTTTTCTCGCGCCGTTCCCGTACGCGTCGAGTACCCCGCGACCAGTGTGATCCGCGCGTACGACAATACACTAACAGACGATATCCGCCGCGCCCCCGCCGGCCGAGTGCTTCGCGCGATAATTATTTATTCATTATTTTTTCCTCGCCCGTTCCGAACATCCGGGTGTGACATTATGACGCGGTTTTCGAACGGCATATTCGAGACCTGACGTCGTTCGCGCGTGCGCCGCGTGTTTGAGTGTGCGTTTTTCTCTGCCCGTCCGTCCGTCCCCGTGCGCACGTACGAAGGAGACTCGCGCGGTAACACACTACTGCTCTTCGCGCGTCCGAGTACCGAGCCAGCAAGCAGCAGCAGCAGCAGCAGCAGCAGCAGAAGCCGTCGTAGCGGAGTGCGCACCAGCACTGCCCACCGAGCCATCCGTTTAGATGAACATGAGTTCGTATCAGTTCATGAACTGCTATCAGCAGAGCCAACAGCAACAGGGCCGGTCCGTCACGTCGCCCGCGGACCCGCTGCAGACGGGCAACAGTCCGGGCGGCGGCGGCGGCGGCGGCGGCGGAGGCTCAGCCGCCGACTACTACGGGCAAGCGGCCCAGGGCGGCGGCGGCGGAGTCGGTGGCGGCGGCGGCGGCGCGTACAACGCCGGACCCGCGGCCGGATGCTATTCGCCGCAGCAGTACGCGACGCAGTACATGCAACAGTCGTCGCCGTCCATGATCGACTACACGCAGCTGCACTCGGTCAACCACCAGCAACAGCACCAGCAGCACCAGCAGCACCAGAGGCTGCAGGCCGTCGCGGCCGCCGCGGCCGCCGGCGCTCACCTCCAGCACCTCCAGCACCACGGCGGCGGCGGCGGCGGCGGTGTGGTCGGCGTCGGCGGATTGCCGTCGCCCGGCGGTGCCATATCGCCCATATCGTCCGCGCTCAACAACAACGTGGTCGGCATGCCGTCCGCAGCCGGCGGCGTTCAGTGCAAGTACGAGGTGACCGCCTCGGCCGCGGCCACGCCGAACGGCATCAGCTCGCCGCAGGACCTGACCACGTCCACGGCTCCGCCGCCCGGCGCCCGGTCGCCACCGCCGGCCGCCATCATGAAGTCCGTCCGGTCGTCCGGCGGCGGCCCTGTGGCCGGATCTTCGCCCGCTGCCCAAGGCCCCATCTCGCAGACGTCCTCGTCTCCCGCCTCGTCCATCTCGTCCACGTCGTCCAACGGTGGCGGCGGCGGCGGCGGCGGCAACGGTCCCGCGGCCTCCGGCGGCAAACAGGGCTCCGGCCAGAACCCGCCGCAGATCTACCCGTGGATGAAAAGAGTTCACCTCGGCCAGAGTGAGTACCCATACTTCATTATTAGCTCTCGCGTGCAACCGTTTCCGTAAACCTGTGCCATCTAATGATGTCGTCATCGTTTCGTTGTAAAAACGAAAAAACTAAATGGCCGTTATCCGTGGTTGCGAATCGCACGTTCTTCAAACCGTGTTTTTACTGTTGTTTTTTTTTTTTTTATTTATTTATTTTTTATTCTCCGTCGCGCTTTTTATTGTCCATTTAATTGCATGGCTAACGACAACAGTCTTCACGAGTCTTGACGATCATTAACATTTCGTTGAAAATTCTGCGCGGCCACTGCAGCTGATTTAAACTCTTAACCGAAACCGCTCTCGAGTTTTCCCCGAGACCTAATATACGCTCGTTTTTTTACAACGGCTACCGACCGCGACCGAAACCAGAAATTACCCAATTAGATTTATATCTGTTGCACGTGCAATAATTATTTTATAACGCTCGTGGAATTTCCGTAAACAATGATATTTATTTATTTATTATCACTGTCGGCAGATAATACGATTTTTCTCGCAAACCCGATTTAATAACACGTAATACAGTTATTTACTGTACCAATAAAAAATGGCTAAACATGTATCCGACGGAACCTGTTTGCAGTAACATAAAAATTGAGTTCGAAAATATAATCATACCGTACTGGTCTATATTAATCTAATTTAATACTTCATAATATTTCACTTATAATCGAAGTGCGCACCAAAATTATGGATTATGCAATACAACACATAAAACTGTTGTAATTATTTAAAAATTATATTTAATTTTACTATCAACATTGACTAGATAATATTTAATTCTTATTATGTCATTGTTGGTAATTTTTTTCTGTTTAATGGGCGCAATAGATTTCTTATTATTTTAGTCTGCGGGTTATACGCTGTATCTATTTTCTAATAAACGTCGTGTTTGATATTTGTTTGGAAACAATATAATATATCTTTGAATAACAATTAAATAAGATGAAAAATGTTCTAAAATGTTCATCTGAACCCTCCTAAGAATTCTATTTAAATAAAATTTAAAAAAAAAAAATCATCCTTAACGTATGATGAATAAATCAAATTCAAACATTTTTCGAAAATTATTCGCGATACACTAGAACGATCCCGTATAATATGCACTGTGTCGTAAACAGGACGTAGAATGTTGGTGAACACAAGCAAATCGTGATAATTCGTGGTTGTTTACAGCGAGACCCCGGTCGGCAATTAAATATCCATTGAAATGCCGATAAAAATAATGTTACCGACCAAAACATATCATAAAAGAAATAAAAAAAAAAAAAAAAACAACCCTTTCCGGGAGGGGTCGAGACGACAAACACGAAGCGTTCAAAAACCAGTTAACGACAAATTAATCGTTCGAGTGTTTTGCCCGTGTAATAATATTATAGTTATTTCGGTGCAATGGACAACCGTACGAATGCACGCGAAATGTGCCTTGTAGACCGTGGCTAATAACCTGACATAGCGGGGTACAGCGTTAGGTAGCGTTTTGCTCGAGCCGAGCGGCTCACCGTGGCGGTGTCTAACGATACATTAATTTACAAACGAGCGCGCGAAAACTCGTTCCGAAAAACGAGCTAAACGTATGGCGAGAAAAGACCGATCTACGAAAACCGCGATGCGTTGGTATAATATTTGACTCGCGTGGGCACGGTCGTTATCAAAACGAAAAATGAAAATAAAAATGAGAAATTCATTCGGAAATGTTCAACGAGTGCCGCCTGCCTACCGTTGTGTGTAACATTTTTTCGTGCTATTCGCCTGTTGTCACTGTTGACTTGACCAACATGCGAGTTTCTTTAGTTTCTACAACACAAAACGGCACACGAAAACCGTATGAACCCCGGAAAGCCGCCCGCGCCGTTCAGCAGTGCGCTCGTTTACGACCGACCGTATATTACATGCGTACATATTTCATAGGCACACGTCAACGTTATGTTTTTATCGTGTGTTATTATTGTGTTGCGTCTTACCCGTACGACCATACGAACGGATAATCCGATAACTGCTTCTGGCCGACAAGAAGACGTCGCGTCGTCTTTTACAGCTGTTGACCAAACCGTTAACCGCACCGCGGAGGGGCTTTATTTCCTTTTTGTTTTTTTCGTTCATCGCGCGCCGCGACAAATAAGGTACATAATAATCGCCCGCGCGCCCTCCCAAACACCGCCGTCGTTTCGTGTCAAACGTCGTTTTTTCCCCCATCGGAAAACACGCCGTATCCCACCCGCGGAGGAGACGATCTCGCGGAAAACAACGCACTTTGCCGACCCGGGTAGATCGTCCCGTTTGCTCGCATAACGCACAGGGTTATATTTATCGTGTCGCACAAAAATCCCGCACGAAAACGGGGAGGTGAGTGGGGAATTCCGTAACCGAGAGTGTTGGACACGACGAACGACCCGTGTAGGTCGGAGTACACCTGAAACCATCCACTCCGTTAATCGGGTATCTGTAGATCGGCAACAGGACCACTGCACTGCAGGACAAGAGGAAAATGTAAATGTTATCAACGAACGTCGATTGTCGATCAACAAAACTAAAGCGCGTTTCCGAATTTCGTTTCGTCTCTCGATCTGAAGGTTTGGTATCTGTCTATACGTTCGATACTCATCTCGAAGATCTTTTAACGAAACTCGATCGATTCTTATTCCTTCTCAATGTTCTTGTGATCGTTGTCAACGTTGTTGTACTTATCTACAACTTCAATCGTAATTTTTCGTTCCAAAAATACAAACATTGATAAGTTCAAATACGTTTTCAGAAACGATTAAAACGAACGGAAAATCTCTGAATATATATTTTTTTAACCATTGCGGTCTCCTCGCGTCTGTTTCTTTTCGAACGCTGTCAAACTAGACACTCGTATAAAACGACGGAATACGTTTCTTCGGTTCAATTCATGCGATACCCAACAGGACAGTATCCACACATGCATAGAATATACGCGTACCCATATTATTATTACCGTCGTCATCGTTGTATAACGTAACGCACAATTATCGAGCGGTATTTTAACCGCGTTTTTAATATGTAAAACCGTCCGTCGCGTAGAAGAATACGAAAAAAAAAAAAAAAATTGAATTTATGTACAAAACACGATCTAAATCAAGTCATCGACTCGGCCGCGACGGAAATCGTGTGTACGCGATATATTATAATACCGTACACGTTAGACGTGCTCGTGAAGACCGTGCATTACATGCATACATTATACGTTTAAGATAATGATTCGAACGTCAGCGCCTGGTTGTTTTTATTATAATTTTTTTTATTTTTTATCAGCCGCCGACGACGATATCCGCCATAATTATTACCATCGCATTACCATCGTCGTAATACGTACACAGTGTGCGACCGTCCGCGCGTTGCGTAACACGTTTCAATATTAAACGCAACAACATACGAGTACGTGTGCAGCGCGTAAATAACGATAATCGTTGCTCGCGTACGGCGTTTGAATTACATACATCTTATTATAACTCGTAATAAATTGGCGCTGCTGTCGCTGCGTGTAATACGTACGTGTTATGCGATGTGCAACCGGAGATATCCAGCGTCTTCCGTGCGGACGCGCGGTCGGGTCGTTTCGAATACCCCATAGCCTAGGGATGAGTGCAGATTTTAGTCGTGTTCAGGGCAGTGGTTCTCAAACACTTACGGTACGGTCCAAATAAATATGAATACAACAATTTAACTAGTAACGGCAATAGAATTCGTCCACGGAAGCCCTAGATATCTTTCGGGGAGCTCTAGGGGCTCTGTATAGCACAGTTCGAGAACCACTGATCCGGGGGAATAGAAAAATAGACCCGAGTAAATCGGCGGAACATCGAGTTTTATGTCTTAACGCGCAATTACGATACAGCAGCGTTGTCGGCGAGATAATAATTATTACGATTTCGATACGAGATGACCGGACACGTTCGGCATGACTAAAGCTTGCAGAACATGACATTATTATATTTTATCGATAACCACTAGTACGTTTCGGTTGTTAAAGTGCGAAAATCCGGTTTTCGACACGACTCAGACGCACTCGTACGCCTATACCGTGCAGAGTACGTATGCGCTGAAAAAAATTTCGATTTCACCGCAAAATTTTTGATTTTCTCTCTCTCTCTTTCCTCTCCCCCTCGAGAGAACACGAATTCGCACTGCTCGGCTGTACGTGAAGAGGGCTTAGGCGGCAGGTGTTGGCGCGTAATGGCCGTTTCCCCCTACGCCACCACCGACGCGGTGTCGATTTTTGAGGCCGAAAAGTCTCTCCTCACTTTATATATATATATAGTAGTAGTAGTATATAGCATTATGTTTGTACCCGGCTGACGATATTTTATTACGTTGTACGCAGCATGATGTTGTACGATGACGAATAGTAATAAAATTACAGAGTGAGAAAAAAAACAACGGCCGAACAAAACCGTTTTTCGAAAAGGGAATTTTCGGGGGCGCTCTGTTTCGGCGGTGGCTGCGGCTGCAATGGGCCGACGAGGGTTAGTCGGGGCCCGGGTCGCCACCCTGCCTGACCAAACCGCCCGTTTGTGGGACGGCCGCCGCCTGTCAGTCATGTGCGCGCAAATGGTGAAAACGTCCGTACCGCCTCTATGGCCTCTAGGTTATATACGTATGTAGGGAACGTACGCATTACACGTGCAGCACATTATGTATACAAAAAGGCGCCAGTGAGGAGAAACGTTTTGAAAAGAATTCGGGAACAGTAGTTACTGCAGCCGGGGTAGGAGGATGGAGGAAGAAAATAACGAAATCGTCTGATAGACCGCATGTGCCGATCTCGAGCACAGAAGTAGGAAAATATTATAAAAAAAAAAAACTCCACCTTTCTCGTTTAATGCCCTCGGTCGACTTCGTATACTATCGTCTCCATTTAAATTAATGATCCTCGTTTGTATGCTAAACTATTATCTGTATATTTATACGTTATTACTTTTTGTACCACATTACCCTTCGAGAGTG